TAGTGGCAAGCTGTTGACAGTGCTACCAGTTGGTATTTTGATCCCCCATGGGCCTTGGGGGGATCAGTGACCAAATGCTTGTCAGCGTGGTGCTTAATAGGAATCCATTGCACTGGTCATCTTTTGTATCATCTGAACCTTTAACTCCTCTGCCAGTTGTGTAAACTTGGCAAATAGATTTATTTTAATTCCATTATTTACCCTACGTATTTACCACAATTCAAAGTATAAAGTCACAATCTCCACAAATGCTGGGTGAACTGTAATATTATTGTTTTTCAGTACAAGAATAAATCTAAAATCTTCAACCCATGTTGGAACTGGTTTATTACATAGTATAAGCTATTGTCTCTTAATTATGACATCAGGTAATTTGACATTAGCTGTCAAAAAATGATATTAAACAACACTGTGTCTCAGTGAAGTTTCTCTAAAGTCTCTTTGTCAGTAGTGTCTGTGTCAAACAGAGACTTGTGGGACAGAGTAACCAAACCCTTCTACCCCTCACAGATAAGGTAAAGCTGCCACAATTCACTGTATGCTGAAATAATTTCACTGATGGAGGTTGTATTCCCCACCAAAGGTACAGCATCTGTTTTGTAGTATAATGTATGCTGAATTATTCACTGTGCTGTTTTATACTGTAGCATGGCGTACCCTGCAGTCCTGTGGCTCAGCGTTAGATGCTGTGGAAAAGGGCCTTACCAGCTGTGAAATGCAACCATGTGCTCCCACTGTCGGCTTTGGTGGAAGCCCAGATGAGTCTGGAGAGACCACACTGGATGCCATGATTATGAACGGGTAAACCATGGACATATAGTGTGCTGTAAAAAAAAAAAAAAAGGAATTGATGTGTTAAATCATTTGTAATACAGAATTTTACATTTGTAAAACTGAAATTTCCCCATTGAGGGATCAGTAAAGTACCTACCTACCTACCTTGATAAATTTGTATAGGCTGTTGGAATGTAACAGCTGTTTAAATGAACAAAGAAATGTTTGTTACTTTTTAAAATCACAAATGACCTATAACTAATTGAAAATTAGCCAACTCTTGAGCACTCTAATTAGGCATCTGCAGCTGTCAACATACGGCGTAACTGTCTAGCACACTGTCTAACAACTGTCTAACACTTGCAGGCTTAAATTGTTTGACCTTTCAAGCAAGCTTTTCTGTAATAAAATATAATATGAGTCTCATCAAGACCTGAAAGCTTGCTAACATTAGGTCCCTAAATAGAAACATTTACACACTGTGGGGGGCAAAGGTCAGGTCAAGATAATAACAAGACAAGCAGCAAGATGTTTGTTATTACTCTCAGCAATATACCTTCTTCCATTTTTCAGGAAAACTGACTTTTTTTTTTGCTTACATAGTCATAAATACATTGCAGGGAGAGTGTAGTCTCCCACACACTATCCAATATAGCTGCATAAGAAATACAGTAGCTATCACCAGCAGACATATTGTACACATTGCCCGAGAGCATGAATTGAAGCACCTGTACAATTTCATGCAGTCCAGTGGAACACCCCAGCAAGAAATATTCTATCTATAAACTTTACAGAACAATATTCAATTATTCATCCCTTGTCTGGTATCAGCTGACAGTACTCGAGGCATTAGTTTACTGTGGTGGATAAATATTAGAAGCATCTGTCAATGTAACACAGTCCATGACACCACCACCACTACAACCTACAGCCTCAAAAACTGGATTGCAAATAGGAGTTAATTTCAATCTGACATGGTATCAAACAAAACTGAACATTTAACTATTGATTTAACTCATGTTTATTACAGGACATGTCTAGCAAATTGCATTACATTGTTAATGGTTTCTGTTTTTCTGGATAATTAGCTAATTCATAGATATTAGTCAGTGTTTGTCTGCGTGTTGTGGTAATTAACTAATCTCAACCACTATGTAAGAGATACAAATAATATCTAGAAAGTTTATTTGAAGAATTGTGTATTGCAGATGTGTCAGTGCGTACGTACACTCCTTTGCTACAGTAGAAATTACTGACAAAAAAAATAGACTGGGTTAGAGGGGTGGGGACACGCATCACAGTTGTGCAGCTGTTGCAGTTTATAAAGGTCTAACAAATCCTGCAGGGGTGTTTATTCTTGGTGTACTCCCTGTGAGCAGGGACACGATGGAGGTGGGTGCAGTTGCAAACCTGAGAAGAATTAAGAATGCCATTGGAGTTGCAAAAGCTGTAATGACGTACACTGACCACACACTGCTAGTGGGAGAGTCAGGTATGTGTGGATTCATGTCCACAAATATATATATAGATATAGATATTAGAGCCACCATTCATGTCTTTGGACTGTGGGACAGACCTGGCATCAGTCATGTCTTTGGACTGTGGGACAGACCTTTTTTCTGTGAGGTGACAGTACAAACCACTGCACCACCATTCCACCCACTTGAAATTCCCCACATTTATACAGTGTATGGTATGAACATTCACTGACAGAGATCTAACACTTAATCCATGTTCTTTTTAAATGCAGCCGTGTTGTTATATTAGTCCATTTGAAGGAAAAAAGTAAGACACATTTTAAGGAGACATCCTGACACTTCAGTCAGCATTAGTTATCTTCACCAAGCACTTGTCACACCAGAGCCAAAGCCTTTTAGGCACTATTATACTGTGTGGTTTCTACAACACTTGAATAAGCTTTAACAACCACAGTAGATCGCTAGCATAAGCAGTTAGTGATGAATGCATGGCTCAGAGCTGGAGTGTAATGTTCTGAATGATTGTATAACAGATCACTCTGCAAGTCATTAAAGGCGAATATTGAAACCTTTTATTTTTATATAAATATCTTCTAAATTAAATAATTTGGCTCATGTCAAAAATTACTTATTTTGTTGTATACAATTGAAATTCAATTCATTTGGCTATATTCCTCTTCACTGAACCACCATTCTTGAACAAGCTAAAGCTATAAGCCTGAATGAGATGAGACTGCATCCAGCCCCTCCTTTGTTGTTGACCCTTTGCTGTTTTATACCCCAGTGTCCGCATGGACCAGAATGTACAACTTGAGCTGAATGTATTACTGCTCTCTTCATAGCTTCTGTGTTTGCTGAAAACATGGGCTTCACTGCAGAAGACCTGACTACCAACATATCTATGAATATTTTCTTACAGTGGCTGAAGGGCAGCTGCCAACCTAATTTTCGAAAGGTGCGTCTATTAAGAGCGTGTGTTTTTCTGACTTGTGTTGGCTACAGGCGTGCTGCTTCTAAAAGACTGATATTAAGTAGGGAAATTGACAGGCATATTAAATTAGTTCATAAGAAGCCAGCTTTCCTGTTTGAGGTGATGCCCTACAGCGCTGAGATGTTGCTATTCTTTAAAACTCTCCTGTTCACTTCCCCAACAGCATCCCCAAATCTCCAGACTAAGATTTCTTTGTTCCTTTGAAGGCAGCCATTATCGTTCCAGCGAGCATATGCAGTGTCCTATTGATCCAGTTTACACCATTTAGAGACATTTGTAAGCACTGATAAATGATAACAAAAGTCAGAGGAAAGAAAACAGTACTGGTGCAGTATAGGTCTCCATGTATCTACTGTATGGCTCTAGAATGACTGGCTTTAAATCAGTCCTATATAAAATTACAGTGCCTTGCGAAAGTATTCGGCCCCCTTGAACTTTGCGACCTTTTGCCACATTTCAGGCTTCAAACATAAAGATATAAAACTGTAATTTTTTGTGAAGAATCAACAACAAGTGGGACACAATCATGAAGTGGAACGAAATTTATTGGATATTTCAAACTTTTTTAACAAATAAAAAACTGAAAAATTGGGCGTGCAAAATTATTCAGCCCCCTTAAGTTAATACTTTGTAGCGCCACCTTTTGCTGCGATTACAGCTGTAAGTCACTTGGGGTATGTCTCTATCAGTTTTGCACATCGAGAGACGGAAATTTTTGCCCATTCCTCCTTGCAAAACAGCTCGAGCTCAGTGAGGTTGGATAGAGAGCGTTTGTGAACAGCAGTTTTCAGTTCTTTCCACAGATTCTCCATTGGATTCAGGTCTGGACTTTGACTTGGCCATTCTAACACCTGGATATGTGTATTTGTGAACCATTCCATTGTAGATTTTGCTTTATGTTTTGGATCATTGTCTTGTTGGAAGACAAATCTCCGTCCCAGTATCAGGTCTTTTGCAGACTCCATCAGGTTTCCTTCCAAAATGGTCCTGTATTTGGCTCCATCCATCTTCCCATCAATTATAACCATCTTCCCTGTCCCTGCTGAAGAAAAGCAGGCCCAAACCATGATGCTGCCACCACCATGTTTGACAGTGGGGATGGTGTGTTCAGGGTGATGAGCTGTGTTGCTTTTACGCCAAACATAACGTTTTGCATTGTTGCCAAAAAGTTCGATTTTGGTTTCATCTGACCAGAGCACCTTCTTCCACATGTTTGGTGTGTCTCCCAGGTGGCTTGTGGCAAACTTTAAACGACACTTTTTATGGATATCTTTAAGAAATGGCTTTCTTCTTGCCACTCTTCCATAAAGGCCAGATTTGTGCAGTATACGACTGATTGTTGTCCTATGGACAGAGTCTCCCACCTCAGCTGTAGATCTCTGCAGTTCATCCAGAGTGATCATGGGCCTCTTGGCTGCATCTCTGATCAGTCTTCTCCTTGTATGAGCTGAAAGTTTAGAGGGACGGCCAGGTCTTGGTAGATTTGCAGTGGTCTGATACTCCTTCCATTTCAATATTATCGCTTGCACAGTGCTCCTTGGGATGTTTAAAGCTTGGGAAATCTTTTTGTATCCAAATCCGGCTTTAAACTTCTCCACAACAGTATCTCGGACCTGCCTGGTGTGTTCCTTGTTCTTCATGATGCTCTCTGCGCTTTAAACGGACCTCTGAGACTATCACAGTGCAGGTGCATTTATACGGAGACTTGATTACACACAGGTGGATTCTATTTATCATCATTAGTCATTTAGGTCAACATTGGATCATTCAGAGATCCTCACTGAACTTCTGGAGAGAGTTTGCTGCACTGAAAGTAAAGGGGCTGAATAATTTTGCACGCCCAATTATTCAGTTTTTTATTTGTTAAAAAAGTTTGAAATATCCAATAAATTTCATTCCACTTCATGATTGTGTCCCACTTGTTGTTGATTCTTCACAAAAAATTACAGTTTTATATCTTTATGTTTGAAGCCTGAAATGTGGCAAAAGGTCGCAAAGTTCAAGGGGGCCGAATACTTTCGCAAGGCACTGTATAAAGCACTTGAACACAGCCGAGGCCAACAAAGTGCTTAACATAAGATACAATTCAAAACATCTAAAAACGTGACAACTACAATATTAAAATACCAATAAAATAACATAAAAGAACCAACATAGCAAAATAACAAAATACTATCAACCAAAACTCAGCCCAAACAGAGTCTCATAGCATATCAAACGCCAAAGCATACAAGTGAGTCTTCAAGTAAGTTTTAAAAATAGCCAACGAGGCGGCCTGCCTGATGTAAAGGGGCAGCGCATTCCATAGCTTAGGAGCCACAATGGAAAACGCTCTGTCCCCTCTGAGTTTACGCCTGGCCCACGGTACCTCAAGCAAGAGCTGGTCAGCTGATCTGAGGCACCGAGAGGGACTATAAGGAAATAAAAGCTCAGCAAGATACAATGGAGCAAGACCATTCAAAGACTTAAAAACAAATAAAAGAATCTTAAAATGAATCCTGAAAGACACTGGAAGCCAATGAAGGGATGCCAAAAT